CCGCCCCCGGCACAGGACCATCCCCAAAAACTACAGTCAGATATTAGCTTATGTATTTTACAGCAGTCGTTCAGTTTACATGCCCAGTTTTCATTTAACTGTTTAATAACTAGCATTCTCTCGTTACTCGAAGTCACTTTGGCGTTGGCAGGGAAGAAGTAGCATTTAATCACCGCAAACGTGGGAAGTGCATATCCCAGGATATTGGCACACCACAGCAAGAGGAGTCCAGCTGTCAAAAATGATGGTAGGGGAGAAGACGTGGAAGTAATAGGCATTTGCAAACCAAATCACGTGGGTAAATGATCACAGTAGACAAAAACACGATGACTGAGGCAAATGTATTACTTAAGGACACACTTCAGAAGTGATCTCCCAGTTGACCACCCCATGCACATCTCTCTCACAGCATGCTGACGTCTCTGATTTTTGCCTATTTTTGGTGCCTGAAATTCCTGCCTGTGAGTGGGGGGGGAGGCGTTGGCACAGGTTGCCCAGTGAAGAAGTGTCACAGACCTCAACTTCACGTGAAAGCTTTGGCATCACCTTGCAGTAACACTACCCAGCTTTAGTGATCACAGGTGACCCAAACCTGGCTTAGAAACTTCATTTGAGAACCTTCTGCCGCCATTAAGCTGTTGCCCAGAGGAGCTCTGGCTGCCCCATCCCTGGAAGTATTGAGGTTGGACAGGGCTTGGAGCAACCTGGTCTAGTGGAAGGTGTCACTGCCCATGGCAGGAGAGTTGGAAAGAGATGATCTTTCAGTTCCCTTCCAACCCAAACCATTCCATGATTCTAAAATGTAAATATTTTTTATGTAAATACCCAATCCAAACTGCAGTGTGTCATTCTAGGCTGCTCTGTTACATCTCTTATTTATTATTACAGATCAACATTGGTCAAAGGAAACACAGCTATTTATAAGTATATTAATGCTGATTCATGTGGTTGTTTTCTAAATACTTAATGAAAATTTGGCTATGGGCACACCACAGTATTCTGCCAGTCTGGAGTCTGTTCTCTTCCAAATCAGGCACAGGAGGGCAGAGGACTTGAAAAGTCAACTACAAAATCCAGAGATCAATATAACACCCACCCCTCCCCAAAACTACATTAGAGTGAAAATAAAGTCATGCTACTAAAGGTTTAGTTCAGCAGGTGCAGAAATCACAGTTCATTAAAAGTTCTTCATCACAGCAGGCAATGATGATTTATAAAGAACAGATGTCCAGCTTGTTTTTGGCATGAAAGTGTTTCATGTGACTGGACACATTTCATGTGACTGGATCTCACATGAAATCACTGAAGGTTTGCCAGGTGTGAACACCTACCTGCTCTACAACCAGACATTCACATGCTGGTCACAGATGGCAGTGGAAATACAAGGTGTCCTCAGGGGTTTCTAACTAACTCCTACAATTTAAATGTTACTTTGGAAATTAATGGAAAAAAAAACCCCAGTTATTTGATCTCAATACATTGTAAGATTGATGGAAAACACTGAAAATATAATCGTGTCCTAGCAAGAAGACTGCAAGACATCAACCTCATTTGGGGGCATCCTTGCACGCCTTAAGTGATCAGTCTCATCCAACACAGCTCCTGATAAACTTACTGTGTCCCTAAACTGCCACACATTCACCCCAAAATCAGGATCCTAATGATGCCCTTTTTTTTACTTCCGTTCGCTTTCAAGTGAAATATGTCTCTGCTTTCACCGCTGCCCAAGGATGGTTGGCTTATGTGTATCTTTGAGGAAAGAGAGAACACTTATTTAATTTATCCTTTTGCACTCCGATCAGCACACTGGCAGGGTAGAAAGAGTGGCCCCGAATTTTCCACCAACAGGGTTTCAGCGCTTTGAGCAGAGGTAAAGTGGACGCTGTGACTCTTGAATAAAGGATTTATAGGTTTTTACACTTCCTCCAAGTGGAAATGAAGATGCCCAAGTATCTCCTTCCCTACAGCCTTCCCATTGCTCTAATGACTCGTATTTGCACATC